GTCACGGGGTGTTCCTTCGAGGTTATGATGAGACTCAAACAATGGGAGTCAAAGACTCAGTATCTTCACGCCTTGCCTTTGTTCCCCAGGAAGCGCGAAGGCCTGGTTGTAGAGCACAGGAGGTCGGGATTACTGTGCAGACAGCTACTAAGGTTTTACAGCTATTTCTATATCCCCTTGGTTTGAACAACACATCATAGGGTGACCTCAAAACCTTCGATTTCTTGTGGATCATGGCTTGGCTCCATCTTGCCCCCAAATCAAGTCCTCTAGTGTCTGCCCCTCTCTTGCCACAACTAACCCTGAAAAAACTGCAGGAGGGTGAGCTGCAGAGGCTGGTGACAGAAGAGCAACGCCGTGGAGACAGACATTACAAATGCCTCACACAGGATTCACATTACCAGATGTTTGGATTATAAAAGAGGAATAATGTAGAAAGCTAAACTGTTTTATGGGATGACATCAAATGTATGTTTAAAAATATAAAATGAAAGCCAAAAGTTGTGCCACGCAGAGTCTGTGTATCCCACACTGAAGGAATAACTAAACCACAAGCATGGAGAAGGAGTTTCTGTTGACTGGAGGAGATAAACAGTCAGGCTCCTAGGGCACAGGACCTGATCACGTTTTTCTGTTAACTTCATTTCCCAGATGGTTGCAAAAAAAAAATTCATGCAAGAATCCAACATGGAAATCAGTGCCAAAGGAACATCTGGGGAAAAGAAAAAGGAGGCAAATGCTGTTCCCTATTTGTTTTAGAGACCCATAAGAATTAAAGCAACCCTATATAATAAAAGGCTAACATGCAAATCGACCGAACGGTGAACGACCGGTCGCTATGATGCACATTGACCACCAGGGGCAGACACTCAACACAGGAGCTGCCCCCGGGTGGTTAGTGTGCTCCCACAGGGGGAGTGCCGCTCATCCCAGAAGCCAGGCTCACGCTGGTGAGTGCAGCAGCGGTGGCAAGAGCCACTCCTGCCTCTGAGGCAAGCTAAGGACACCTCAGGGGATGTCCAACTACTGGCTTAGGCCTGCTCCCTGCAGGGCTTAGGCTGGGCTGAGGGGACACCCCCCTCCCCCACCCAGTGCACAAATGTCGTGCACTGGGCCTCTAGTATATAATAAATTAGATAGTCATCAAGGTGGTATTCTCCTGCTGCAAGCTTCACAGAATTGTAGAAAGTGGTCACAGTCAGATGGGACTATAAATCGTCTATTTGAATTCCTCCTTTTATGGAGGAAGATCCCACAGGGTAGGTGGGGTGCCCTCAGTCAACCAGCAGAGTGGGCAGCAGAGCACCCTCAGGGATGGCACCTTGGCAAAGCTAAGAAGAAGGGAAGTTAAAGCAGTGCTCTGTGTTTTGCAGAAGGCTGGGGCTGGGTAGGGCCTTGGAAGACACCCAAGTCCAGATGAGGAAACCGAGTCTCAGGGAGCGTAAGGGTGTTGGTCCAAGTCACACAGTTTCCCACGCTCATGTCATCATGCCACCTGCCTCACAGTTAGCTTTAGGTTTTATGTGACTATTATCATCTGGAAGCATTCCAGGGGCTTTTATTATTATTTCTTTAAACACAAACAATCCCCATGTTCATTGTACTAGTTCAGGGTCAGCAAATCTGTGGCCTTCATTTAAAGCTCTGAGAGTCTTGGAACATCCCGCTGGTAACCTAAAATTTTCCCATGGACTTCTAAATTGCTCCAACTTTTGGACTACTAACAACTCCCCAAACACAAACTCAATTTCTCTGAGGTTATGTTTAGAAACCCAAATAAGTTACATTGAAGATATACTTCACCCTTATAAGGTCCTATCACTTGCTCTAACTCGTTGCAGAAAACAGATTTCATATCAGACCTTTCCATGCCCTTCCTTCTCTGTGACTAGGTGTAGATCAGAGAATTGTGATTCAGGATTAAAAAGGTCCTCAAACATAAAACCTAAGTCAGTCCAACTGCCTCTCCGAGGTGGGAATCAGGAGTTATACCCGCCTGCCATGGAGCCATCCGTTAATACTTGTGGTCCCAGGAGTCCCACTTTGTTCTAAAACATCACTATTTGAAAAGCACTCCTTCGTTGAACTTATCAACTTCCTTCGACTAGTGGCGTCTTTCACAAGGCCCCGTTTGCTGAGAACATAAAATATGGCCTCCACAATCTTCTGTGTCAAGAGTGGAAAAATGAAATAAACTGCTTTTTATGATAGTCAAACATGTATCAATACAGGGGTGGGCAAAAGCAGGTTACAGATGTTCGTATGGAAAACAACACAATAAAATTAATCAATAGTAATACAAGATTGAACTCTGTGTTTCACATACTCACAACTGCAGACCTACGTGTACCCGCCCCTGTATATTTAAAGTGCTTGTGCCAATTTTCTCATCCTATGAAAACAGCTGACTAGACTTTCACCAAACGTGGATTGATCCGCTTTGAAATGCAGGCTGTGTGCTGCATGTGAAACCACCATTGCGCAGCTATGATCCCAGTGCCTCTGAGAGAAAGTCAGCCATATCTCAGGGCAAATAAACTCAGGGACAGAGGCCTGCGTCACTACTGATCAAGAACAAGAGCCCTTGTGTATGAAGCTGTCATATCAGAAAAGCAGACGGAGATTTCAAATATGAATGCAGATTAAAGATCAGAAGGGCAAACATTCCAAATTATAGGCACTGATGTGTAATCAAGTTCTTTTGAAATTGCTTTGTATGTGGGCAGCTTCTGTAGCATACTCCAGTGGCAACCAGGATTCACTTTTTAAGGATATTTAATGATTTCCCCAGGGATCAGCTAGCAAGATAATATAGGTGGAAATGTTTCATAAACTCTAAAACTATAAAATCTGATGCTGCATCACCATGATATTTCTAACTCTGAGTGTTCACCATAAGCTTATACTTGCTGCCGAATGTGCTAGGCATTTTTGACACCATATATAAGTGAGTAAAAAAAAAAACTCAACCCTGACACCAAAAGCTTGGTCTTGTAAAAGATTTCTTTACCTGGCTCTAGGTATATGAAAAATGATACTACGGCAAAATTGCATGAATTTATGGTTCACATATAAAGCTGAAAAAAAAATCCTAAGACAGGAAAATGTCCAAAGAAAACAGGCATAAATAACAGTGGGAGGGTTTTTGCTGCAACTGAACAGAGTCCACCTTGCCATGCAGGCTGAGAGATGGTGGCTCACAACCCGCAGGGAGTGGAGCAATGTGGACCCAGCGACATGTCTGGGAAGCTGAATGAACTCTCTCATGAAACAGGGGAAAGAGCTGGATACCCTTGAAGGCACTTCCTCTCCCAAATTATTAGTTGATGTTGAACCACTGACAATGGGAAAACTGACAAGGAAGCTGATACTAATGAGTCTTCCAAGAAACTAGACAAGCTGCTTTCTTCCGAAGTTGGACACAATCAACCACAAATTAATACTAGGTTGTTCTATGTCTATTAAAAAAAAAAATCTCACTCATTCATCTCACTCTATTCCATGTGTCCCTTAGGGCCCATCTATACAATATAACCTGATGGTTAAGGGCATGGCTCAACAAGACTTCCCAGATTCAAATCCTGGCTCTGTCACCTGCTCACTGAGCAACCTTAGGTAATTTACTTCATCTGAACCTCTATTCCCTTATTCACTAATGGGGTCATTATGAGGAAAACGTGAATTAATAAGTAAAAAGTCCCCGGAACAGTGTCTGGCCAATGTAAGTGCTGTCTGACACGTTACTACCCTTCTGTTCTCGGGCCTCACAGCCAGGCCCCATCTCCAGGAGAGAAGTGCCCGTGAGAAGGGATCAATTAAAACTGCCTATCATACTCCTCTGGGGTTTCAAAGTTTTATGTTTACGTTTTGTTTTACGTATTTCTCTTCTTCTTCTTCTTCTTCTTCTTCTTTTTAATGAAAGCAAGAAGTTCTACTTTCTTCTGCCAAAGAACAATGAATCTATCCACTCAATGACTGTGGTTTCCATGAGAAAGTAAGTGGAAACAGATGTTTCTAAAAAATGAAAACCATACTATACAGCACTGGTGTCGCTCACATAAAACTTTCCACCAGCCATCCCCAGAGCCAGCTGCCAGCCCCCCCGCAGCTGTGACCCCCTTGGGTGCCTGGGCCCAGACACCTCTTCCTCTGCTTTCTACCCCAATCCACAAACAAACTTGCCCACCTTCGATGAAATCCGAGGCCGTGTACGGATGCTGGTTTGGGCTGTTCTCTGCAGGGCTGTTGAGGGTCTCCAAGGCTGATTCGATGGCTTCCACCAACTCATCCCGCTTGTCTTTCCTCACGGGTTTCTCCTCAGGGTGGCGGGTCAGGCCCGTCTCCAACTGGTACACCTTCTGCAGGGTGAAACTGTCGAAAGGCACTGCGGCGTACTCGGTGGCCAGCTTGACGCCAGCGTGCACCTCCGCCTTGTCCACCTGTGAGTGCAGGAAGGCCAGCAGGTCGGCCTGGGTTTTCTCGGGAGCGCCCGGCTCAGGGCCCAGGCCCGCGGCATCGCTGGCGTGATACTGTGCGTTCCTGAGCTGCTCGCTCCTCTCCTGCAGCTCCTCCTTGAGCTGTGCGATCTGCCTCTTGAGGCTGCTGATATAGTTGCGGTGCTGCTCCTCCCACTCCTGCAGGGCGGCCTGGTACCCTTCCTTCCCTGTGGGGCCGTTGGCCCTGGGCAGCCCCAGCTGCTCCTCGTTGCCTTTGGGAGTGCAGGCCAACATGTAGAGGACGGAGATGGCACAGCAGAGCAGCACAAGCAAAACCACCACCCGAGAGATCCACGCAAGCAGCCCCCGGCGAACCATCGTCATTCAGGAATCAGCCATGCGTCCAGACCTGGCGACATCCCAGAACCTCAGGGCCCCACGGCAGGGCTTGCCCCGGACTAGACCACGGGAAGCATGTGTTTGGGGCCCCCTGAGCTGCCTTCATCCATTTCTTTCTACAACACGTCTTGTCTCTCCAAGTCAAGCACCATGTGGAACACTTTTTCTACTTCTACAGGACGGTCTTCCAGGCAGAAGCAACGAGTTAGCTGAAACCTCCAAATGTCCACACTCAGACCCATCCTAGCTTCCAAATGTGCAGCAGGTGACAACAGGGGACCTAGGAAGAGACCAAATGACAAAACACTTAATCACGATAATAACACTCTTATGTTCACGATGCCAATCAATGTTCAATGCTTGTGACAGGTGATTAAATACTGTTTGATGTTTGGAAATCATAATGCAAAGATGCATTTGCAGAGCAATGCATATAAATAACAGAGGATACAGAAAAAAAGACTGGAAGGAAATACGGCAAAAATTGAAATCTCTCTGGATGGAAGTATTAATGGTGATTTTTCTGTTTCTCTACATTTTTCTGTATCTTGTAAATTTTCCACAGTGGCACTTATTATTTTGATGGTTAAAAGGGAAAAAGCAAACTTTAATTGACATTTAAAATTGAAGGCAGGGACTTCTCTGGCCAGGTCTGCCCAGGCTACAAAAGGTGAGGCCTGCATGGGCTCGCCAGGGTGCACTCATTCAGGGCAGGGCTCCAAGCTGGCTCAAAGGGTCTTCAAGCTTATGATCAGGAGATAGGGAAGCAACTGGAGGTTCAAATATGCAAATAATCAATGTGGATGATAATATATTCAGAAGGAGTCAGGGGACAGTTGTTCCAGCTAACTCTCCAATTCTGCTTGTGGACAGGAGATGGTGAGTTTACCATAGAAAAGGATGGGGTTGGGAGAAGAACAGAGACCAGATATACTGTCTTCTCAGGACTTAAATCCCAGGCATATTTCCACTCCAGCCTCCAGGAGGAATTCTGTGTCTTGACTCTCATCAGAAATATCCAGAAGGATCGTGGGGCCTTCCATGTGACTACATGCTCTGCCCCTCAACTCCAAATGCCTGTAACATGTGAATCAGCCTGACTTGCCGTTCCCATTTCCCCAGGCATCCCTCCACCCGTCATGGTCATCACTACAACACTGCTTCTTCTGTGTTCTCCCTTCCTCAGTACCTATCTGAGCCAGAAAAAAAAAAGAATGATAAATGGAAAATAGATCAAATAAAATTTATTGTTTAGAGAGATTTTTATAAGATCTTCCTAGATTCATCTTTTTTGGTCACTTCTCTTAAAAAACAAGCTCCCTGGGGGTACCATGTCCTGCCCTTTTTATAAAAATTTGACATTTTCAATAAGCCACAAAAGAAAATATAAATTATTCTTTTAAAAATATATATTATTGATTTCAGAGAGGAAGGGAGAGGGAGCGAGAAATAGAAACATCAATAAAGAGAGAGAATTATTGATCGGCTGTGTCCTGCACACCCCCTGCTGAGGATCAACCCAGCAATCTGGGCATGTGTCCTGTTAGGGAATCGAACTGTGACTTCCTGGTTCATAGGTCAACGTTCAACCGCTGAGCCACGCTGGCCAGGCAATAAGTAAATTATTCTTTACATAGTTTTCACCCAACCCAGAAATCCAGGTTTTGGGCCAATAATCATCTCATTTACTGGCAGCCTGTCACATTTACTGGAAGAAGGGCTCCAGTGAATTAGGAACGTCAGGACCTCTGGGAGAAGAGAGCGATGTTCCTTCTAGCATTCTCTCTATGCTGACACTATAGTAAACAATAAAGGCTCCTTGGCAAGTATGCACCTGCTATATACCATGGCCACACACGAGAGTTCCCCTTTTGTTACCCTGGTGATACAACCCTTACAGATATTATGTTATCAAAATAGTTTATTTCTTAATTTTCCTTAAAAATTCAACGCATAATATTCTCTCCAATATTTCCCTTGGCCTGTGAATTCTCTTTTGTATAACTGAGAATATGCAGTTATTAGTGCTAAGTTTAAAGTGTATTTTAGCCCTGGAAGCCTTTTCTAGCTGATGAAAATCTTGGGATTCATATAATTACTATAACTCTGTGATTAAAAACATCTCAGCTTTGGTATTCAGGCACCTTGCTGATTTTAATGAAATCTCTCAGATGAACTCATTATATCCAAGTATTAAATTACTAGTGAAGACATTATTCTGCCACTTTAAAGACTTTTACTTTAAATGAGTTGTCATTAAAAACAAAATAAGCAAATCAAAAAACAAAAATGAAATACTCAACACAATTTATTGTGTGGCAGAAACACAATCTTTCCAACAGATTTTTTAAATGGAATAATTGTCACATTTGCATAATAAATTGAAATCATGTTGGTTAACTGAAGCAATGTATTAAAACTAAAGAAACTTAAAACTGCACAATAATTATTTTGTTCTGTTCCATAAGGCTCTTTCAACATCTAGTCTGGCTTTTGAAATCCACTAGTATACTTTTCAGAGTTATTTAATACTAGTGACCCGGTGCACAGATTTGTGCACACTGAAAGGAAATGAATTAGAAGGTGGCTGGTAGGCGGGACTGGGTGAGAGTGGGCGGACATGTCCTGGAGCCAACCTCCCTGGCGTCTGAGGAGCGAGCGGGGTCCCTCCAGCAGGTGGGGTCCCTCAGCGTGGCCTGCAGGGTTCAGGCCAAAACCGGCTCTCCAACATCCCCCAAGGGTTCCCGGAGTGGAGAGGGCACTCTACAAAGTTTCTGTCATATAGGGTGTGGAACGCAAACGCAAGTGTGCAGTAAACCAGATTCAGGGCCCATAGTGCCCCAGCAACAACATAACCCACAGCTGAAAGTGTAATCACATGGCCCCGCAAGGAATTTGGCTCCCCCTTCTCTGGTTTCGGGATGCATCACCCTAGAACCACCGCTGCCAAGTCACTGCAGCTGGGCAGCTCCTGCATTGAGAGTCTGCTCCCTGGTGGTCAGTGCGTGTCATAGTGACCGGTCGGACGGTCAGACACTTAGCATATTAGCCTTTTATATATAGAGATAGATTCCATTCTTCAGGATGCAAAAGGAGAAAAAACAGATTTAGAAAGAAATGACTGTTATTTTTTTAAATTTTTTTTAAAAAATATTTTTATTGATTTCAGAGAGGAAGGGAGAGGAAGAGAGAGATAGATACATCAATGATGAGAGAGAATCACTAATCAGCTGCCTCCTGCACGCCTCCCACTGGGGACCAAGCCCGCAACCCAGGCATATGCCCTTGACCGGAACTGAACCCACGACCCTTCAGTTGGCAGGTCAATGCTTTATCCACTGAGCCAAGCTGGCCAGGGCTGCCTTTTTTTAAATGAACAATAAAAACCCACATAAATTACTACCAAAGAGGCAGGAATGAACTTCTCCTTTTACATGTCAGGAGCAGAAACTGTATGTCAGAAACAAAGTTCTGCATCCTTTAACAGATAACATTTTTTCCATGTGTCTAGCAATCTAATCGGTAATCAAAATAGTAACAACTGGGCCGAAACCGGTTTGGCTCAGTGGACAGAGCGTCGGCCTGCAGACTGAAAGGTCCCGGGTTCGATTCCGGTCAAGGGCATGTACCTGGGTTGCGGGCACATCCCCAGTAGGAGATGTGCAGGAGGCAGCTGATCGATGTTTCTCTCTCATCGATGTTTCTAACTCTTTATCTCTCTCCCTTCCTCTCTTTAAAAAATCAATAAAATATATTAAAAAAAATAGTAACAACTGGCCAACCTATAGATACTGGGAGTATCTGTGTGCTGAGGTCAGAAGACTTATCCTTCGGCTGATCCTCGCTTCTACGGAAATGTCAAGTGGCAGCACAGGACGACATTCTTAAGAGCAGATGGTACTTCACCAGCTGTACCACATTGACAATGAGATGCAACCGGACCAAATGAACAGCTCAGCCCCAAAGGCACGGGGCAACCTCTCCCTCTCTCCGCAGAGGTGTCGGGAGAACTAGAGAGTTAACACTTCTAATGTGTTTACAAACCTGCAGAGGGAAGGCACCATGTAATTACCGAGCACTGTTACAAGCTAGAGAAGACACTGAAAATAGAGCTTTATGGGGCCACAGCAGCGTTGTGCTACTATTTTTAAAACTTTACAGATTATAGCTCAGTCTTTGGGGTGGCTGGGGACAGGAAAGGAATGGCGAGCAAGAAGGATCCCCTGTCAATAACCAATTTTAGGACTTTTGGGAGAACAGAGATGCATATTCCTTTTTTAAAAAAAAAAATATATATATATATATGTATATATATATATATATATTCCTTGCCACTTGCCTTTTTAAATGCCCTTCCTTACTCATTGCTTTCCCACTTCCTGTCCTGGCCAAATCCCTGAGGATGGTTCTGTGACGCACCCTGTCCAATACCCTGGATTCATTGAGAACTAAAGGGAACATCCGATCACGATGGTGCTGCTGCCATTCTTACAATCCAGGCCAGGGGTTGCCTAAGGAGTTCACAGCACTTTGTGACACTTTAAGGCAGAGTCTCCAAGACAAGTGGGCCTACATCTAGGGTCCAGCAACGGAGCGGGCTCCTCAGACTCCAGGTGGGAGTCGTCTGCTGGCCCTGACATCCTGCCCAGGCCAGGAAGTGTCCCGGGCGTCCCCCAGCGCTCCACACCGCACAGCACTGACTCAACAACGGGTCACACCACAGTCTGCTTCAGCTAGGACACTGCCATTATTCTATTCATCCTTACTAGCTCCGACTATGTTCTATGCGATGCATAGGAAAGTACAAGAGACGAAAAGATGAACCAGAAACAAATTCCAACATCAGCAAGTTTATAAGCTTATTGGGGAATGAAGGCCTCACCAATAACTATGAGTCCAGAGAGACAAATGCCATTAAAATAGATACAAAGTGTTAATGCCAGTGCTCCTCCCTACTAAATGTATGTGTGCTGAGGGAGGAAGAGGGTTGAGGCGTATAAACAAATACATTTTAAAGTGACATAAGCTTAAAATGAATGTTAGGCATCAGCACCATGTGTTAAAATAAGATAGGCAAGTGGCTATAGATCCTGTGTATCATTTCATCTTAGAGTGGAAGCTCTTCAGAGCATGAAACTAAGATGCTCCAAGTTTGGTCCAGAGTCTAACACTTACCCCAGATGGGGACGGTGGAAATTAGAATTTCTGTGGCCAGAACGGAAGCAGCCAGTAGCATGGGTGTATGCATTTCATTCTACAGGTCCTGGTGAACATTTAGAT